GTCCTTGGATGTGACTGCCAATTTTCAAGTTCATAAATTCCCCTCCCCAGCATGATTCCTGAATCATTTTGGCTAGTCTGAGTTTGGGAAGGAGTGTGGCTCACCCCTTGTTCTGTAATCTACAAGACTAGCTGCAACTGAACAGTTGTGGGTGGCATCAACTGTAGGGAATGTTAGCTCCCTGTCCACTGCTTCCATATTGACAATAAAATCTAGTAATTACTGTGTGTCAGGTATTGTTAGCCTTTTACACAAATAATGTCTTTTAAACCTCACAGCTACCTTTGGTGTTTTTTCCTTCACAAGTACCTTTGAAGTATCACCATTACACTTATTTTGCAGATAAGGACACAGGTAGAGAGGTTAAGTAATTTGCCCCAAATTTTAAAACTGGTGAATGGTAGAATCTGGCACTAAAGTTTCTATTCTTTTTTTTTTTTTTTACTCATATATATTTTTTTTCATTTATTTTTATTAGTTGGAGGCTAATTACTTTACAATATTGTAGTGGTTTTTGTCATACATTGACATGAATTAGCCATGGATTTACATGTATTCCCCATCCCGATCCCAAGTTTCTGTTCTTAAAGCTATGATGTATTACATGATAGCTATCAAAGGAAGAGGTGAGGTGACTCCTTTACCTCTAGAACTGAGGTTAGCAAACTGGCTGTGTTTGTACTAGGTTGCTAAAAGTGCTTTTTAGCCATGTATGACCCATAAAACCTAAAATATTTACTCTCTGACCCTTTATGGAAAATGTTTACTCCTGTCTTAGAGCCTTTGAATTATCCTTCTAGTGGAAAAAGTACCCTTTTCCCTTCACCAGGAGATGGTGGGGGTAGGTGTTGGAAGTTTATGCTTCTGGTTCCCTACTCCATTTCTAGAAACGTCCTCTCTTCTAAGCAGCTGTCCTGGTCCAGAGCAGCAGCTTCCACAGGGTAGGTCAACTTCTGGCTCAGGCTGTGTCTTTCCTTCTTACTCTTATTCCTGCCTTTCATGAACCAAAACTACCTCAAAAATCTGTAAGGTATCAGTAGATTGCATTGATTGTGAGGCAGGATAAGGAGGTACAGCTGAGACAAATAGACCTGGGGCCTATATCCTTTTAACTTGCTTCCCAAATGTGTGGTAAAGGCAAGAATTCCCTCATTTTTGGGCTATGAACTGCTTACCCATAAAATAGGTATAGGACAAAGCCATAGGGCTGAGGTAACTGAAATGAGTGACATGTAAGAGTCTGGTGAGGTAGTGCAGGCCTAACAGAGCTGTGGTGTGATGAAAACTAGCCTCACCAAAACTGTAATTTTCCTGTTTGGCTTCTTGTCCGAGTTTATTCCCAGGGCTCGCTGCCTGATATGCAACATATTTGGGTCATAGTCTCCTTTGAGAATCTGATGAAAGCTGTGAACTTAAAGAAGGTGTAAATGTACCCATTAATCTTGCATAGTCCAAACAGGTTCATGGGCCAGGGGAGGATCGATTACTGCCTTGTCAGGCCATTGATCTCTGTTTCTTTTTTCCTCCAATTTTATTTTTCTTTTTTCCCTCCAATTTTAGCCCCGAGCTTCCTAGGTGGCATGGCCACCCTTGTCCCATCTTTGCTTCATTTTAGCCTTTTATTTCTGGTTCTTTGAGTGCTTTGGAGATTCCAGCCCCAAATCAAACTTAACCCTTTCTTAGTCTAGACCAGGTACTGAGCCTTGTGGTCCGAAATCTTTTATCCCAGTAGTGCTCTACTGAGAAGACTGTCCTATAAGCCTTTCCACGCGCTAAGCTTCTACTTCCAGATAAAATTGTTAAGCGCTGCTTTAAGCCTGTCCCTCACTAAAGGACCTCCCTCCCTGTTTGGTGACTCAGCTCTGTGTAGTAGGGTCCTGGAGGGTGAAGGTAGTGGTGGTGGTGAATGGTGTGGAATATGAATTATAGCTCAGTATACCTGTACATTACTGGGATCTGGGATCATTTTATGGGCTATTCTATCTGTAGAAATTCATAAGGAAACTGAAAATGGGTGGTCTCTTAAGAGGGACCGCTGTTGTGGGCCTCTATCCCTATAACCCATCCACTTGGAACCTCCAGCCCTGGTGTGGCTCCTTCACCTGCTGAGGCACAATCACATTTTCATTTAGCCCTCCTCTTCCCCAGCAATGCTCCTGCTCCCACAAAGGCATTTATCTCTGGTCTGCAGAATGCTGTGAAGGGAACACTTCCATCAGCCAACACGTTCCCAGAGATGCAGGCCCAGAAGTCCATGCCAGTTCTAGCCAGCAATTGAGCAAATAGACTCTGTTGAAGTTTTACCCGGAAAAGTTTTTCCATTTCAGTCTTTCATTTTTCATTAGGCATCTCCTACTCAGGGACAGCAAAAAAGTTTCCAGTTACTGTCAAGCCCTTCATGATCTTTCCTCCACCTGGAATGTTTCAAACAGCTGTTCATGTAGCTACCCTCTCGGTCTCCCATTTCACCCTAGGCACTTAACTGCAGAAACAGAAAATCCCTTGGAGTTGTATTCATAGTTACCAAGCTGTAAGCTATCAACCGTGCTTCAGTCTCACTTTCTTCTTGTAAATTAATCATTTGAAATCCCACATGTCAGTGCCTGGGAGGCCTCGCAGAGGTGCTCCCATCCATCTCATTGACACAAGAGACTAAAGCCCAAAGAGGGGCAGGGCTGGCCTCTGGTTAGCTACCCTACGTAGGTTCCTGGCTTCTGCTTTCCTGCCGAGCATTTCTCCTCCTTATGGCTGCTTAGACCTTTCTGCTGGAGAAAGGAACATGTACTTTTATGTTGAGTCACTCAGCAAAATACTTGATTGTAGAGAGCTCCTGCACTTTTAAAATGTTTTTTTTTTTTTTTTTTTTAAATTTCAGGAATAGGCCTTCACAGCTACTCAAGGGATGCAGGATGGCTATGCCCACATCTGGACAATTCTGTCACTTCAGCTGAATGCTGTCTGGATGCCACTTTGCTTTTAAAAGTTTGATTTTAAGTAAAACAACTACCGAGTTAGTGTAGACACATATTGAAATACTCTCCCTCACAGTGATTCCTCCCTGGGTAGTAACTAATGGATCTTTTCTTTTGGGAGGAGGGATGGCATACAAGATAGAGGCTTGGGTCACAAAGGCTTCTGCAGTGTTGTCACCCATGACAATGAATAGCCAGTCCTTTATTCCCCCTATAAAGAGGGGCCCCAAAGCCCCAGACCTTTCCCTTGGCTGTGGTATTGGCTTTGTAAATTAACACAACAGGCTACTTTGATTTTGCCTGAAGTACAGGATGGCAGAAATGGAGACTGGGAGAAAGAGTCCATCTTGGGAATAAACCCTTTCCACATCCCACTTCGCACATCACTGTAGGCTTGTTAAGGGGAGGTTGGCCCTCAGCCCACAGACCCAACTGGCTCTAGGCTATCACGTTGTTCAGGCTTTTGCTTACTTCATCAGATTTCTGTTCTTACCCAATGTTCATTAGGTCACCTCACAGCCTCTTCTCCATCCCACAGAAGTTCCTAGTTAAGCCCCTACTTGAGGTCATGCTGTATCGAAGCTCAGGAGTAAAGGGAAGGAACAGCTAATTAGTCTCAAACTTGGATTGGTTAGGTGAGTTTGGTATAGGTCTGCCTCTCAATGTTCCTTAAGTGCAAGCAGAGGCGTCTGTCTCCAGGCCTAACAGGCAGATGGATGATCTGTGGTCCTACCCTACCCAACCCCAGCTCTGAGGTCTACCATACTACCCTTTACTTCCTTGGCAAGACTGGTGACTGTCCTGTAGTACCTTCAGCTGTGCCACATCTCCACCACTTTTTCTTGGGGAACAGGCAGGCTCTCACCTGCCATATCCAACCTGTGACGATGAGAAGGGCTTAGGGAAGATATATCAGCCAAATGTTCAGGGAGATACAAGGCAGAAAATAAAAATCTTGTTGCCTTTCTCGGCTTTTTCTTCCAGATCAAAGGAAGATCTGAAGTTTTATATATCTTTTTCACAGAATTCGAATTCACACCTTTCTCTACAAACTTATTAAAGTATCTGTCATTTAATGAGTACCCATGGTTTAGGGACTTGCAGGGGTTCCTACTTAAGGTGACAGATGTTTTGGGCTTTGGAGAGATCTAAGCCCTATGCCTGTTTCCCTCAAGTTGATGGATGTGCTCTGTAAAAGGCTCAGTCATGTACTGGCAGGAAAGCTAATAATTCAAGGTTTGCAGTATCTGTCACCACTGTCAAGCTTTCACTGACTTAGGAGGCCCTGCTATTTCCTCAAATTTTAAAGATAGAAACAAAGTCAACCAATACTTATTTGCCCATGATTGAAACATGTCAGCCCTGATCGCCCTTCCCCTGGGAGATAGCAGGTAGGTCGGGCTTTGAATTTTCTGCTGCTGGGTTTCCATTTTCTAGACAAATGATGTGGAACAAATAATGAGGGTGACAGTCAATCTATACAAACAAGGATCTGGGGCACTGTAGACAAGTCTGACTGAAGTATCCTCCCACATATATCTTTCCACTGAAGGGAGATAAGGGCCATATCCAATTGCCTGTAACAAAAGAGATCAGTGCTTCTTTCTTAAATAAGCTGAAAGGACTCAACACTGTTTCTAAAGACCTCACCTCATTATGAGAATTCTATTTTGATTAATGATTTCACTGAGCTATTTTGGAATGAAAATGTGGCTAGGTGCCTGGTCTCCCTCAATGGCTTCACGTGGCTTTTCAAAGGGGAGGAGGTAGTGCTGACTTTTGGTAAAATGGGTGATAAAGTCCGAGCCAGCAACACAAAGTCCAGATGAGGGATCAGTAAATACGTGCCTGAGAGGCAGGCCTTGAATACATTCCTCTCTGGTAGACATTAACTTATTAAACTGACCTTGACTGCAAATATAGACTTTGCCCCCATCTTACCTGGCAACCAAAAAAGAGGTGGGTCTGTCTATAAAAAGAAGCGGGTACTGCTCCCGGCCTTCAGGCTCTTGGATCCTTTCTATCAAGATGTGGCACCTTAAACTCTTTGCAGTACTCATGATTTGCCTGTTGCCATTAGCCCAGGTAAGGACTGGATATGTATGTGGGTGTGTGGGGATGGTAGCAGTGGAGGTGTAACTGTAGGCAGAAATTGAGAGCCAGACTCAGTCCTGAGGAATGGACCCCTCTGCTCTGAGTCTACAGCATCTGGGGGTGGGGGTGGGGTGGGGTGGTGATCATAATTCTAAGATAAACAGTAAGGTTTCAACTCTTCCACACCTGAGGTGGCTATGTGTTTGCCCTACAGGTAGATGGCTCTCCAATACCAGAACTGAGTTCAGCAAAGAGAAGGCCGAGGAGAATGACCCCATTTTGGAGAGCGGTTTCCCTCAGGCCGATTGGAGCCTCCTGTCGGGATGATTCTGAATGTATCACGAGGCTATGCAGGTACTCCACAAACCTGCGAGCAGGGCTGGCTGGACCCAAGAGGCCTGGGAAGTTGGGCAGAGGAGAGACCAGCACATACAGACCAAATAATGAAACTGGGGTGGAGGACTGCCTGGGCCAAAGATAGGGGCTCCATGGAGCACAGTCCCTCAAGAGTTAAGAGCCAAGAATCGCTGCACACCGGTACCCTGACATAGTACCTTTCCTCTCTCTGCTCTCCCCTGAGACTGGATACCAAGCACAGGAAGGAAACGAAGCAGGGGTGGCTCTGGGCACTGCCAGACCTTGTCCTAAAAATCACCTTTCTCTTCCCTTAGAAAAAGACGCTGCTCCCTAAGTGTGGCCCAGGAATGATGTACACACCACGGAAAAAAAGGACAGCATGTGCCTACAACAATGCTCTGTTCTATGGAATATTGACTAACTGCATTTGGCTGGAGACACTTAAGTAAAGCAATCTTGTTTTTAAATGTTTGAAGACAGATATACGCTTTAAATTGGTCTCTGTTTCTTCTTAGAATGTTGATATGTAGATAAGCATAACTAAACTTGTTAACTTAAAAGTTTATTTTTCTATGGATACTATTAAATGTCTCAAACTGAAATTTTGGCAGCCTGGAATTCACACTTCTGAGGGGAAGGATTCATTTTGTATACTACAGGAAACCCAGCATTGCCTAATGATAATGTGTTAACTTCTTAATCTGAAAACTGCAGTAAGGGTTAACATTTCTTCAGGTAATAAAAACAGAAACACAATAGCAGGCTAAAGGCAAAAGTTTAGTAATAGCTAGTGATTAACCTCAGCAAGTTCATTAACTATGGCCCTGGATCTTAACCCTTCATTGCATGTAAAGAACATATCAGTGAGGTGCAAAGACAGGCAATATTGGTTTGTCTATGAACAGAGAGAACCAGAAGAAAAACCTAGTTAAATGAAACAATTACAGCCCAAGCCACCAAGAATAACAAAAAAGATGTGTATGAGATTTCTGTTGGAGCAGGGAGAATTATGATCTATGCAGAGGGACCCATGGCCAGCCAGTTCAGAATTTCTGTAATCAGAAAATAAGACCTGGACTGGTGGGACCAGACTGTAAAAGAAGAGTAGCACTGGACCCTAATATACAAAACAGAAAGTACACACAAAAGGCAAAATAAGAGTTGAAAAAGTATAGAGAGCACACTGTTTATAAACATTAATACAGAAAATCTATTTGATATTTATTAAACTTAGTTTCTCCAGCTATGGTTTGGCATTATACAAAGCATCTTAATGACACAGTAGAGTTAAAAAGATCTTTACAAATTGAAATGTGATACCCTTGTCTCCAAATATTTTAATTGCCATAAATTTGTTTAAAAATACACATTAAACGCATGTTTGACACTCTAAACTTTCTATAATCTCAATACCACAAAATACATATAATATACTATACAGATGTGGAAAAATCTAGTTAGTATATAATACTTTGCTCACCATTAACAGCTTTATTATGTGAAATGCACATACTGACTTAGAAATCCTAGCTTTTGAGCCCCAAAGTACCTCTGAAATTTTAATGTATTGCAACAAATAAAAATCACAGTATACAATTGAAATTTTGGTTGAAAATGTCAGGTGCCTAAATATTTTGGATAAAAGAAATGTAAAACAAAGATTTGGATCATGTATAAAATAAAGGCATCCTATCAGACGCTAACAGTACCTTTCTGCAGAATCAACAAGGCTTTTAATTTATCAGTGGCATTACCTCCCCTCCAAAACCCTCCCCAAATATCAAACCATTATTCACCAAATAATTTTAATTTAAAAAAAAAAGGATTTTCAATAAATATATAAGCATTTATGTCCTCCATATACAAAATTTCTTAAAACCATTCAAAATGGAGGCTAGATAGAAATTTTCCTAACTGTGCTTACCAACCCCACATCTGGTCCTCAAAGGTGACGCCTTTTCAGGCACTTCCACCTGGGCCAGCTCTGTTGGTGAGCTCTGCCCATTCCCACCCCATCTCGACCCCAGTACTGTTGAATGCTCATGTCAATGATCTGCCAGGTGTGTGCATGACATTGTAAAATGGGGACACTTCTTGAACAGCAACAACAAACTCAACAGTATGGATAATTATGGCATTGATCTGAAAGGCAGCATTTCCAAATAGATGTTTTCCAGAGAGGAACACAGTAGGTAGAAAATTCCAGTGGTAAAAAGCTGAAAAGAAACCCCATGTGGGAGCAGTAAGAGGTCAAAACAGAGTATTACTAGAACTTCTGGGTGCGAGATTTTCCCCCATGCTCTAAACTAGAGCACCTTTTGGCTGTTTCTTTTTAAGAATGGGAATTTACGCTTAGCTGAGGAACAGTGGGCAAGGAGAGGTCAAAGCTGACATTCCCCAAAGTCAACTTCATTATATGACGATCACTTGGGTTGCTATTTTAGGTTGCTTAAAGATTGGTTTAGACTTAACTCTAATGCCTTATTCTGTGACCGAATGCCACCAAAAAGAAAAAAAGAAGATATTCTTTCCATTCGCTTTTTGAGAGACTATAAGTTCTTTTTAATTAACCATATGGTTTGAGTGAACAGAATCTGCATTTGCTTTACCAGCTATTAATAACTTACTTCCTATTACTTGTTGGCTTAGTTATAGGGTCTAGGGGTCTAAAATGAATTTCTCTATTAGTGAATAAGTGAAAGAAATGCTCACAAACATGAACAATTTGGCCTCTTGTCACTATATATTCTAAGTCATTCAATACTTATCTCTTCTATTTATATTACTGAATAGCAACCTTAGATGTACAATATTATTTATTATTGGAAAAAATTCTGCCTCTCCAACACATAGATACATGAAATTGAAATGAAATCTGTGTTCCACATAATTAGGGAATATGAGTTATAGGAATCTAGATGGATTTGAAATGTTTTGCTTTGTAATTTACTTAGGTTTAAAAAACAATCTTCACAATCTGCCTAAAACATCCTTCCCAGTAGATGTTCCTGGGACCCAGAGGCAAACTTCTATAATTCAAAATGCATAATGAGGCCCTTTTGTTTAATTAGCAACTGGAAAATTAAAATCCTTCCCACCCTGTATGAGCCCCATAATACTACAGAGGGGCTCAAATATATTTTAAAAGTTAATTTACTACAAATCATAGTAATTAAGCTTTAACAATCTAAAAGGAATACACATTGCACCCTTGAACATTAATATTCAAGGTGTCAACAAGAAAGTGTCTTAGATCAATAAATAATGTGGAAATAGTTGCACTAAGCTAAAATACTAAACACACACATTTCTGACAAACTAATTTCATGTTTTCATACATACATACATATATATAAACTGTGTATGTGTATATAATTTTAAAATCCAAAGCTGCACACCCTCACACTTAGAAGAGTGCAGAGCGTACCTCTCCTCTACACAACCAGGCATCGCTGACTGGAGCAACTACAGACTGTTCTGAAACTCCAGAGTGCTGCCAGCCTCCAGAGCCAGAACGTTCATTTACAACAGGTGTGTCTTGCAGGCCTTGCTTCACAACACAAGCTTATTCAATAAGGTAATTTCTCAAAGTCATTGTCATTAAATACAAAAATGATGCTGTCTGATCTAGCTGATTAGACCTTTCTTGAATGAAAAGAAACAAACAACGATTAAAAACAACAAACAACAGCAAACCTAATAAAGCCACAAGTGTGTTGTTCAAAGTGCAACCCAGACACCTGTGCATCCATCAGTTCGAGAGCCCCCCCCACCCCCGAGCACAGGCATGTGTGGGCATGTGCACACATTACTCTAGACAGCTTTTACATTGGAGAATTAAACTAGTGATGGTCAACCTTCTCTACTCTGCAGCAACTACAGCTGTGAATTTATCTGAAGTATTCACTGCTTATAAAATCAGTTAACTACTTGCCCAGAAAAAGGTGGCACTGAGGCAAGAAATGGGCTGAATGCTCCCCAGTCAGGCTGGGCCTAGGCTGGACTGTGGAAACTTGAATCACCTGGAGGGGAGTGTTCCCCACAGCCCGGCCTAGGCTGGGCAATATGATACCATGTGACAACTTCCTCCACTGTAATCTGTTCGCTGGTTGCCAGTGGTGTGGCTGCTGCCTCCTGGCATACAAGTGTGGTCTTAAGAGCAGTCAACAGAACAATTTTTAAAATAGTTGCTATTTTTATAATTGACTATATTAAATACAAGTCTTAGGCTAAGTAAGTTTTAGCCACTTGTCAAAATCAGTTGTAAGTATTTAGAGAACACTGAAGACACCTACTGAGGAAGGAGGAATGGTCGCCTGTAAAGGAGTCCTAAGTACGTGCTGGAACAGACGCAGACAGACAGAACTTCTGAGGAGATGGGCACAGAGGAGAGGGAGTGGTGTTTCCACAGACTTTTACACTGAAAATTCAACTGTTTAGAAAAGGAGTTTGATCTACTGCCCATTACCACCTAGAGGGAAAAACCCTCCACAATTAAAAGCTTAAAAAACTAATTTCCCAAGAAGTAACACAGTTTTAGAGACAGAATATTTTAGCACAGCACCATAAAACATGCAGGAAATTCTGCTTTAACAAATTATCAGTGTGACCTGGGAAATACATGTTCCTGCTATCTTTCAGGACTCACAAGAAACCAGAACACACTGGAACTCAGAAGTGCCCCACGGGCTGCTGTTACTGAAAGTCTAAAAGCTCAAAGGATACTTTTTCCATTTCCAAGATAGCACAGAAAATTAAGGAATCAGAGTCAGAGAAATTAGAGAAGAACAGGACAAACATTTACTTTGATTAACTGTGGCAAGTTTCTTACTGAAAAACCACCATGGATCATAGAGAAGATGTCTTCTTTTTGTTTTTTAGAAGCTGTCTTCTTAAGGAAAACTGTTCCTAAAACACACTAAGATAAAATTAGCAAGATATTAGAGGCAATTTTCTCCAAGGGAAAATTGTTAAATTCAACATAAATTGAGGATGTGAATCTTCAGTGATATGCAAAAAAACAACTTGAGGTACAAAACCATTAAGAAGCTCAAGATGAGGCCACAGGACAAGAAAAGTTAACTAGCTTCATAAGTGTAGATTCAGACACAGAGGGGCCACTACACCACTGGGCTTAGAGATTTTCTATCCCTTCTTTCTCATTTCAAACCTTAGCAATCGTCTATAAATAACAGGGCAATCCTTTTTTCTGATTGGATGGATTCATTTTTGGAATTGGGAGGACAAACTATTTTTTGAAGCAGCATTACCCAATAGGTTAGACTAAGTCATGTACCAAAGCATTAGCTTTTCTGAAAGAATTAATCTTTATGTGACCCTAAAGGACAACTGAAAAGGAAAGAGAATTTAACATTATTACTACAGAAGACCAACCATATGGGTGATCTGCTCCTAGTGTAAAACTTCATCTGTAAACAATCCATAGAGTCTTCATTTAAAGGTAAGATTTAAGGCACACCAGACATGATAGGGGCACTAAAACAAAAGACAGAAGGTATATCTCTCACCTTTAACTCCTATCTGCACCTTATAAGGGAAAGGTACTTTGATATACAACTCTTAACAGAGCTGGCTTATTAAGCTCTACCCCTGCTCCCCTCCCCTTCCCAAGAGAGCTCACATTGAACCAAGTTAGGTACTTTTCTAGTGCGAATTTTCTGATCCCATCAGAAACATGTATCATTGATGAAGGCTTTCAAAATACAAAGGTAGTAAACATAAGATAGGTTTAAAAGGTGAAATTCATCATCTCTATATCAGGCATTAGAACCCTAAGTTGTATAGCAAAAAGCACACACACCAAAGCTCCAGGCCATTTTACATCAGTCACCACATGCTCCTACCAGAGCATCACAATCTAGTGTGGGAAAAAATTTTTTTAATTAAAATTCTGAAGTCAGATTTTTTACCCTACAAACATCATCAATGAAAGAGATATAGGCGGCAACCCTCAGGAGTTGGATCATCCTTTGTTCAACAGTAACTTATTCTGTTTCAGTTAAGTGTCAAATTATTAGTAACAACAACAACAACCAAACATATGATTTAATAAAATCCATAAGGTTCAAGATTGTCCTTTTATGAAACCCTTCACATGATATGCTTCTCCTAGAAAGTTTGCCTGCCCTCTTTTGTAATGCATTAAATGCAAGTTACAGTCACCTTGTGATTGCTATAGTGTTATTAACACATGTTCACAGTTCTTGAAATAATGCATACCAAATCAGAAACATATCACTTTACATTCACGTAGACTGCCATCTTCTCATATTTAAGTGATTTTCCATGTGTAGAAGTATATCCTTAATATTGTACTAAGTATAAATTCTGCAATAATAAAATTGTACTTAAGATCTGAAGTAATATCAGGTAGTAGGTGTAGAAAGAACATGTTCATATTCTAGATAAACCAACTCTTACTCTTAGAAGAGCTACCACAAAAAGACATTACTTTTAGGTAACAAAGCTCCCAAAGTATATAAATAAAGTCTACATTAAATTTACATAAAATATTCAACAGAGTAAATTTATAGGCAGAAATAACTAAGTTTTAAACTAGCCCCAATCTGGGAACTTAAGAAAATTAAAATAAATAGAATTTCAACAAATTAGTAATGAACTGCAACTGAAATTTCAATATTATAGTTCATTGAAACCAACTATCAACATGCTGCAGCAGATTTAAAAGCATTTAAATAACTTTTCATATTGGGAATACTGGAGGGTCAAATGACATGATTTTGGGTTATAAAAAAAAAAAATGCAGGAACCAGGGAAGAGAAAACCATTCCTCATTCTTAGTGTCAACTAGGTGGTGTGTTATGGCAGTTTTCCTTCATGACATGACACAGTGTTGTGGAGAAAATCAGAGGCAACGAGATTGTGTTCAGTTCAGGATATCAACTTGGCATCCTGGCGAAGCCAGTGCAGTCCCTGCCGGGTGTAACGAACTAGGTCTGTCATGATGCTTGCATTAAAGATGAGAGGGCCCATTACTTTATCCAGTTCAGCAAAGAATTCTAGAAAATCAAAAACACTCATTAAATGATGTACACTCTTTTCAATCAGTGCTTTAAAGTTTTTAATCTAGACTGTAAAAAACTATTCATATAAAGTAAAAAACATTTCCTTCTGCACTAAAATGGTAACTGTTCATGCTTTAGAACAAATCATCCCATAGTCAATCAAGTTATATTTTTTCCCTAAGTCACAAAACATTTTAAAAAGACTATATGGTCAGGAATTAAGAGTTACACATATAAACAAAATGTCACCGATGGAAATTGCTACTACAAAGCAAACATGATTAAAATGGAGACCTAATTATACAAGGTATTGACACTATACTATTACTCAAAACATTCTCTGTGAACAGTTTTTGTATAAGAAGCAAGTGGTATGAAAAAGCAGAATGTTGTTATCTGCAAGTTTCTCCCATAAGAGCCCCTGTGAAGTTAGATACTTACAATAGCCTGTGTCCGATCTTTCTGCTGTAATCATGCCATGCAACTTTTATGAACTGAATCTCATGTTTTAAACAGTAGTTTAAAAATGTAAGAGATAGAAATGAAATGATTCTTTCTATGTCAACAAAATCAGACTGATGTGTATGTAAGGCAGGGTGTAGAGAAGAGGAAAGAATAACAGTATCCTAACATTTGATCCCAACACCATTCTGGGAGAAAACAGAGGGATGTAGGACAAAGTGAGGACAGTTTTTATATGCACAATGATAATAAAGACCTTAGTATACATATATAAGATAAGAAGTCATCAAACAGTTGAGGAGAAAAGGATTTCCTTTATATAACTCTGGCTAATAAATTCCTGATGAATTTTCTATTTCCTAATGGAATAACACATGTAGGTGATAATCAATGGATGCTAAAAGCCTAAGTTAAATAGCTTAAAATTTTAAAGTTTACATCAAACTGAATCAGGCCAACACCAGCTGAATGGTCAAATACTACTAAGACTAAAAAAGGAATAACCATTATATAATTCATAATATGATTTAATAGGAAATATAGAGTACCACCTATGAAAAGTTCTTACCTAAAATAATGAACTGGACTCTAATCAAGTCTCAAGATATAACTATCAGAATGAATGAGGGGGAGAGAAGAACAAGCTAAACAATACCATGAGGAACTAATCAGCAAAATCCAGAATTTGATGCATTCTATGGTACAGTTTCTCCTTGATATCAATGGCATGTCCCTCCCCGCCAAAGAAATAGAAGAATGGAAGATACTTAAGAGACTGATCAATGAATGTCTGGAACCTGTTTGAAACAAACCCAATTGCTTAAAGAAAAAAGGCATATTTCAAACAATAGGCAATCTAAGGGGAGATTATGTCTTAGAAGACATAAAGGAGTTAGCTTTAAAATATACCAGGGTAAAGAAAAATATGATGGGGGGGGGTGATGAGGAGAGATGGTGGGGGGAAAAGAAAACAAGATTAGCAAAATGTTATATTGCTGAAACTGAAGTTGAGTAAAAGGTACATGGGTTCATTATACCATTCTGTTTCCTTTAGTCAGTGTTTGAAAATTAGCATAAAATATGTAGGTAGGCAGGCAGGCAAGTAAGAATGTAAACAATAGTAGGGGAAGGAAGAAGGAAAGGGAGGGAGGAATGGAGAGATGAAGGGAAAGGAAAGGAAAAATGATGCTAGAAAACTGGCATCAGGGAGAAGAATGTAATGTAGGTATAACTTAAGAATTTCATCTTGTAACCTTTCCTGAGTTGTACTGAGAGTATTTAAAATTTTAAAAACAAATCAGGTATTTAAAAACACAACCTTCCTCCCACCATTACCCCTCTTTAGGGATCAGAATTTTTCATTTTCATCTGATGCTATAAGCATTATATTTAAATATACTCTGTGACAAAAGTATACTTGCCTGATAGGCTACTTTAAGTTTTCTACAAAGGAGCTGCCTGAATAGATGCTATATACACATATTTGCTAAAAAAACATCTACTAAAGTGTTTATTCTGTACTTTTTCAAAGATCTTTAATACTTCCTAATTCTTGGTATTCTTAGTTTGGGAGATAACAAGGTGCAATGACCTAATATTAAAGAATGCTAGACAGAAGGCTATTCATTTTATAGTCTCTTTTATCACCTAAGTTTCTTCCAATATGTCTTTAAAAATCCAGTACGAACATGTTTTCTTATATATTAGATACCTCATATGTATAAGATGTCTGGATATAATCCTATGCCAATAGCCAAATTTACCTTAACCATCCCAGGACGGAATATACATTTTATTACTTTTATAGTATAAGCTGCAATTAAATGTGGCTGAACAAAGGCATATTTGTCTTAGACCAAAACTATTTTTTGTTTAGTTTGTGTCACCACTAGAGTGCAAGGTATTTTTTTTGACAAAATTCAGTATATTTACATGACTGATAAGCAATGGAGATCAGCAAACTGATTGTCATTAGCTCTAGACTAGATAATAAACTAAATGTACAACAGACACTTAATTTAACTATTCCATAAAAGCTCTTTTTAATTCCATCCTTCAGAGTCTCTCCAGAGACCTCCTTACCTTTTTGCTCTTTGGAAAGCTGTTCGGCTTGGTCCCAAATTTCAGTGGCATAGAGGAAGTTGGATGTAACCTGAACATAGCTGGCTGCCATGTGGTGGATCCTCTGTGGAATGGTCACTGAAGAACCACTTGCTGAAGCACTACTGGCTCCAGAAGAATAATTTCCTGAATTGCCTGGTGACAGCTTTGGAGAAACAGGGGAAGGCATCCCAACAGCTTTGCTACACACAGAGAAACAGAAGTTTATTCATATAGAAAATGATGAATGTGAGGAAATTAATGTACACCTGGCTCTTCCTATAGGAAGGCTTTTAAAATTTAAAGGTTCTTTTAAACTAAAAGGGAACTGTTCTTCCAAAGAAGTACAAGTTCTTTTAAATAAATACTTAGTTCACTATAGTGTTTATTGTGAGTTATCATTTTATCAAGACTCTTTGGTTTAACCAATGGCAACAGTACAAAAGATGGGAAAGAAGTGAGGAAGTCATATACTTTGGTAAGAGCTATTTCAAGACTTACAAGTTAAGTCATCTCACTCTCAGCTCAACACACTTTCCACCTATCTGGGCATATAATTAGGCACTTTCCATTTGTTTTTATAGAAAGCTGAGTGGATTAACAACACGAGATTTCATGGTATTTTTCATCCTTTCTGTGGGTGAGTGGGATGGAAGTGATGTGGGAATGGAGGACAAACCATACTCATGCCACTGTTATTAAATTTTGGCAGTGTCCAGACATGAACAAAGATAAGTGCAAGGTGATAAAACTCCAACTAGCCACAGAAATCAAGCTGAGAAAGGTTGAGGAGTTGGAAATAAAAAAAACTCAAGACTTCTACAGGTGAAATGTTCCTTCTCTAATCTTTCTAAGAGCATGTTTAAGATATTTTAAACTTAAAAAAAAAAAATGATAACGGTAAAGAATCTGCCTGAAATGTGGGAGACCTGGGTTCGATCCCTGGGTTGGGAAGATCCCCTGGAGAAGCGAATGGCTACCCACTTCAGTATTCTGGCCTGGAGAATTTCATGGACAGAGGAGCCTGGCAAGCTACAGTCCATGGGGTTACAAAGAGTTGGACATGACCGAGCGACTTTCACTTTCACAAAAAATACCTTTTTTGGAAAGTGGCCAAACCCATTCCACTTTCACATAAAAATAAACTTGTCACATAAAATTTTACAGAATAAAATTTACCTACCTTCCCAAGCCTGGTGATGGTGCTTGAGAATTATTATAAGAATTCTGTGGAGAAAAGAGAATGTACTTAATAATTAAAAAAAAAAAACAAAAAAGTAATTTATGAAGTAATATTTATTTATGATATAATAAATATATTCAAAAGCATTGGGCCAGTACCGATCTTTTTTTTCTTTTTTTTTTTTTTTTTGCCAGTACCGATCTTAAGAAACCAAAATGTGTGTGTGTGTGTAGAAATGTTCAACAGAAGGAAGTTATTTAGATAAGAGCTGGGGTGTTCTGAAAGACTGAAAAGGGAGAGACAAAGAATGAGTAACATTCAGATGGATAAAGAAGAGGGGAGAAGGCACAGAGCAAGGCAAGTCATCCTATGTACAAAAGCTGTACACAAGAGAGTGTATATGACCCAGACAATTTACCTGGAGTAAACTTCAGAAAAGAAAGAGGGACAGTGGGAGAGAGATCGATCTTGAGGGACTTGTAGGTGAGAGTAAGAATCTTTCACTTGACCCTGAAGGCAATGCTAAGCTATTAAAGCATTCCGAGTCATTATCAGGGCAGAATTTTAGGAAGACTTATGTAGGGCTATCATGAAAAAACATTAGGTTTTGTGATAAAGATAGATTATATACATTGAAATATTACTAAGAGCTACTGTATACGGCTACATAGCTTCCACAGTCAGATATGTGTGCATTTTAAACCTCAAACTATTTGAAAGTTCCCAAATAGTAGCTCTTCCTTTCTTCTGGCAGGAAAAACATGAGGACACTTCTAAGGTGGGAATAGGAGACTTTACAAATTTTGTCTCCTGGGAAACAGATACTCCTACTGTGCACTTACCTTCAGATGCTCTGTCAGCGTCTTTGAGTATTTCAGAGCAGTTTCTTTCTTCAGTTTGAAGAGCCTCAGGTACAGCAAAGACTGGCATCGCAGGCTAGCCAATGGAAAAGGACAGTTTATTTACCAGGACAACAGACTCTGGCCACATCGCATAGACAAGGTTCACATTGAGCCAGAGTACACAAGTGATTCATGTGAGCAGACCATGGCATAAGGTCAATGACACTAAAGTCTTAGGCAAAACCAAAAGATGTGATCTTATTACGGTACACAACCTAGGGAGGGAAAGGAAGAGGAAGAGACCTAGGACTAGCCTCCTATTTGTTGATATTCAAAAATCAAAACCTCAGCCCCAGGACACCAACGTGTCATTTATAACATAGGGACTAAAAAATCATTGCGGGGGAATTTCCTGGCCGTACAGTGGTTAGGATTCAGTGCTTCATCTTTCTCTGTTGTGGTCCGGATTTAATCCCTGGTCAGGAAACTAAGATCCTATATAAGCCATATGGCACAGCCACCCCTCCCCTCAACTCCCTGCCCCCAAAAAACTTCAGAGCATAATCTCTACATCAAACTAAAAATAATCTAAAGCAACAAAACTAGGAACTCAATTGTAAATATTACAACTCTGAAGTAACATATGTAAAACCAACATGGCTTACAAAGGCCCTGCACGGTCGTCACTGCTTACCTCTCCAGTCACTTTCACTTACTTCTCCTGGGTCTTTTAGTTTCCTGACTCAAGATTTCTGGGTTCTTTCCACTATCCAGCCCTTGTAAATGTTTCCTCTACCTGAGGACTAAGTTTACCTTTAGAGTTATATAAACTTTTCCTTCAAAGTACTTAATTCACATACTTATGTGGTTATTTGATTAATTTCTGTCTCTTCACTCTATACCCTAGACTCCATGACAAATAGAGGACTGTGCCAGTTTTTTTTCTACAGCTGCTCTCCCAGTTGTTAAACCCAGTGCCAAGTAAAGTAAATAACCATGATAGATAAACGCTCTCTCTGGGGATAAGCAAGCAAGCCATTTCCTTATTCTGAGCAAGCTAGATGTTTGCTACCTGAGGTAAGGTATGCGTGCATGTGAAGTCATTTTAGTTGTGCCTAACTTTGCAGCCCTATAGACTATAGCCCACGAGATTCCTCTATTCATGAGATTCTCCAGGCAAAAATATTGGAATGGGTTGCCATGCCCTCCTTTAGGGGATCTTCCTGACCTGGGGATTGAATCCCCATCTCCTGCGACTCCTGCATTGCAGGTAGATTCTTTACTGCTGAGCTGCCAGGGAAGCCCCAAAGGTAAGGTATATGTATATGTAAATGGAGGGAGAGGATACCAAAAGAAGAGCCTGGATTTTTTATAGTGTCCATCTTTACTGAAATACACAATAGAAGCCTTAGAGTAAAAAAAAAAAAAGTAAACTGTAGTCAAATCCAAAAAAAAAAAAGCCTAAAAAAGTGATCACTTAATAGAAAGTTCTAATATTAGTCTCACTCTACCAAGGCTTTTATCAAGAGGGCAATGGAGGTGAGGCTCACAACAACTAAAAATTTTCAGTAGGAATTCTGTTGTTTTCTTCTTGACCCATCAAGAATAGATTTATGACTGGGTTATGGAAGGCTGATTCAAGGACAACTCTCAGAAGAACACAGTACAGTTCCTTACGAAATTGCTTTGTCATCTAGCAGAGGCTAACATACAACACTTACCAAAGCACTGTAAGTCTTTTATCTGCAGCTGTAGCATCTGGTGCCAAGTAATTCTTTAGCTTCATAGTGTATCTGTGAGATAAGAGAAGAAACAAAGGACACACAATATAATAATTCATCTGTTTTATGACCTCCTCAGTCCTCTAAACATTAGAATCAAACTTAAAGACAAAAATACCCACTAAAGTGTCTACTTCTCCTTATCCAAGGACAATAAAGGATTAAGGATCTTCTTTAGCTATTATTTTATAAATTAATCCTTTCCAAGAAGGAACAGAGAAATATTATTGCCAACGATGTGGCAAGTTTCCCCACTTACTTGATGAGCTCCACCGTTTCTGAATACATAAGGAATGGGGATTTGGATTCCTGAGCATTTTTCTCTAATGCATTCCCACATTCAATGAAAGATACCACAGCATCAAGATAGTATACAGCTTTCTCAAACCTATCAGACTGAAGAAAGGAGAATAAAGGTAAATGAGAGCCACACTAATGTGCTACGAGAACAAATGAAGATTTAAGTTAATTTGATTAAATATATAAATATTTACATACCAATGCATCTGCATTGTGCTTTAGCTTTTTTGCTTCTTGTAAGTAATGGTCTGCTGAATAACTTCTGCAATGTAAATTTTTATTTTAAGTAAAATGGGAAATATTTTCATAAGATAATGTTAGTTTTATAGCCCTCAGTTTTCATGTCCTCAAGTAAAGAAAATGAACTATTAATAAACATTTGATTAATTTTTTCCCTGACAAATGTTTCTATTAGGTTAAGAGCATAAATCATTTGAAAGATTGAGAGTAAACAGAATGTAGGTAGGAAAAATAACCTTTATCAAAAGGGAGGGAAAAAAACCCCTACATTACTTACTTATTTGAGACAGTCTTTATTTTAAACCTACACTGTTTTACTTAAGAAAGCCTTTAAACAGTAAAGTCAGCAAAGGTGGACTACTGGAAGGTATATTATTCACATTCCCCATGAGAATCATGAAGGTAAATTAAATTAAAAGGAGCAATCCTTGGACTTGAGGGTACCTTTAAAATTAAAAATCTGAATATTCTGTCACAATATCACAATACAACAGTATCACAATACAACCAATTCTTCTGGTCACTGACAGGCATTAAAATGAGTTTCGTATACACTGACTGAAATGATTTGTTAAATGCATAAAAAATCTTATTTATCTTACCTGTCATCAAAGGCAAGCTTCGTTCTCCGAGGCTTAGAAGCATCAGGAGTTGGTGTAGATGGAGGACAGTTAGAAGAACTATTTGGAGCCTTTTCCTGACCAGAAAAAGAAAAACAAAAACCACATTTAAAACTATGAAATTAAAACTATGAAAACTATGAAATTAAAATTAAAATAAAAGTATTCCTTAGCCCGTGGTTAAAAAGCAAACAAAATTCCATTGTCTGTGGTAGTTAATTCTCTTGTTATAAAAATTTAAAATTTCATAATGTAAACGTCCTTTTTATGGAATGAGCCCATTTTAAATAACCAAGAATATTCTTTATAATATTCACTTCAGTTCAGCCACTCAGTTGTGTCTGACTCTTTGCGACCCCATGAACCACAGCATGCCAGGCCTCCTGTCCATCACCAACTCCCGGAGTCCACCCAAACCCATGTCCATTGAGTCGGTGATGCCATCCAACCATCTCATCCTCTATCGTCCCCTTATCCTCCTGCCCCCAATCTTTCCGAGCATCAGGGTCTTTTGCAGTGAGTCAGCTCTTCACATCAGGTGGCCAAAGTACTAGAGTTTTAGCTTCAATATCAGTCCTTCCAATGAACAACCCAGGACCAATCTCCTTTAGGATGGACTGGCTGGATCTCCTGCAGTCCAAGGGACTCTCAAGAGCCTTCTATTAAGGGTCTACCATGTGGGAAGCAATGACACTGACACTTGTAAAAACTTAAGGAATACACAAATCTATTACTTCAGACAAAATTTACTGGTAATAACTGGCCAATGAAAACAATGACAACATCTAACACTTACTGTGTGCTTACTACTTACTAGGCACTAAGTTAACCAAGTACTTAGCATAATCATTAACCCTTTAACGGCCCTATGAAATATGTACTGCTATCAGGACAGAATAAAAAGTAGCCTCAAGGAAGCTGAGCAACTTGCCCAAGTCCAAACAGCTTTTAAGTAGTATTCCTGGAATTTGGGTTTTAAGTCCAGATCTGTCAGATTTCAAAAGCCTGGACACTTTCTTAAGTTTTATTCTGCCTCCTATCAACATGCCCATTCTGTCTCCTATCAACAGAGACCTTTAACACAAGGGCTATGATCCTGTCCTCCCAACAGCTTCCCCTCCAGTCTTATCTTCAATACATTGAATACACATTTTTTTTCCCATTAAAAAAATCATAAATAAGTAGAATTTATCCTACGAATTCATAAATGTCTCAACATCAGAAAACCCAACAATATATATATTTTTATTACTTCTGTTTAAAAGAAACCATGTAACCATTTTTTTTCTTTTCTTGTAAGAGTCCTTTCAAGTTCCACCTATTATAGCTTTCTTCAAGAATGAAAATAAAAGCCCTGAGATTTGAAAAAATACTAAACTCTTTATGGTAAAATCTGCACATTTACCAAACAGCTTCCTGAATACTACTGCAATCTAACTTTACTTGGACAGCTTTCCCCCTGTGTTTTATAAACAGATCTATTAAGGTTGGCACAGAAGTAATTGTGGTTCCAGACCACGAATTTTAAATCATCACAACTAGGCTCAAACATATCTTTATTAATCAAAATAGGAACCATTATAGTCAACATGTTCTTGCCAATGAGAAATAAGTTTGTCTATTCCTGTAGTGAAAAAAACCCATGCTTCGGGATTCCACGAACTCTTGGAAAGCATTTTCTGCATCCTACTGGCTGTGGAAACATCTCCCCTGCAAAAAGTTGTTGAGATGCTTGAAGGAGTGGTAGTCTGTTGGCAAGAGATAAGGTGAATATGGCAGATGAGGCAAAACTTCGTAGCCCAATTTGTTCACCTTTTGAAGCGCTGGTTGTTCAATGTGCAGTTGGGTGCTGTCATGGAGAATTGGACCCTTTCTGTTAACCAATGTTAGCTGCAGGTATTGCAGTTTTTGGTGCATCTCATCAATTTGTTGAGCATACTTCTCAGATGTTAATAGTTTTGCCGGGATTTAGGAAGCTATAGTGCATCAGACTGGCAGCAGACCACTAAACAATGACCATGACTTTTTTTGGTGCAAGTTTGGCTTTGAGAAGTGCTTTGGAGCTTCTTATTGGTCCAATCACTGCTGCTGCTAGTTGTTGTATAAAATTCACTTTTCATCACATCTGATTGAGAAATGGTTTGTTGTTGTTGCGCAGAAAAGAGATGACACTTCAAAACGATGATTTTTTTTGATTTTCAGCTTACAAGCCACCCACTTATCGAGCTTTTTCTCCTCCATAATTTGCTTCAAATGCCAAATGACTGTAGAACGGCTGACGTTGAGTTCTTTGCCAATCTTCTGTGTTGTAAGAGGATCAGCTTCAATGATGGCTCTCAGCCTGTCGTCAACTTCTGATGGCTGGCCACTCACTGATCTTCAAGGCTCTCATCTCCTTCATAGAACTTTTTGAACCACCACTACACTGTACATTCATCAGCAGTTTCAGGGTCAAATGCATTGTTGATGTTGTGAGTTGTCTCTGCTGCTTTACCACCCATTTTGAACTCAAATAGGAAAATCACTTGAATTTGATTTTTTTCTAAGATCATTTCCATAGTATAAAATAAGTTTAAAATGAATAGCAAGTAATAAAAGTCACTAGCAAAAAAACTTAAAGTGAGAAGTGTGCATTAAAATAATGTATAACATAATCGTATTTATTTAAGAATGTATTCCAATATCAAATGGCAAATTTCAACAATGCAAAAACCTCAATTATGTTTGCACCAACTTAAATATAAGTGCCTAAATTTAAATTTATGGAAGGAAAACTGAAGTTTATGAAAATAAAGAAAAATTATGTGTGTGGTAAGAAAAGGTAACTAGACTTACTGTGGTTGAGTAAGTTTTTGGAATATATACATATAGGAAATCATTCTGTTGTACACCTGAAACTAATACAATGTTATATACCAACTTTATCTCAACTAATTAAAAAAACTGATAGAAAAGGACTAAAAAAATCAGTCAGCATACAAAAGGTGTGAAAATATCATTAATCTAACTGAATTACACAGCTCGCTGTCTCTAATTCATGTGGAAGACACAGTCTTTTCATTACAAAAATCTACCATAAACTACGCTGTTTTACAAAGCAACTCAACAAATTTCAAAAGATCACTGCATGCGGATCACTTTCTAGACCCTTCTACAAGGTACTAATCAAAAGACAACCAGAAAATCTCTGTATGTTTGGAAACTGAGTAACACACTTAAGTAACTCTTGGATCAAAGATGGAATCACACAAGAAATTAAAAAACATTTTGAACTGAGTTATAAAAATACTATATACCAAGTCTTGAAGATGCAGCTAAAGCAGTAATTAGAGGAAAATACATAGTCTGTTTATATTTGAATATTAGAGAAAAAGGGCTTACAATTAATTTTGAAAAACAAGCTTAGTATTCATCTTTAAAAGTTAATAAACAGAACAGCAAAACAAAAAGGCATAAGAGGAAATTGTTAAGAGTGTAAGTTAATGAGATAGAAAACAAAAATAAACTATAGTGAATAAAGACAAAGAAAGGCTGTTTTTTTAAAGAAAAGTAAAAGTGATAAGCCTCTGATGAAATTGATGAAAGAAAAGAGAAAGACAGTACAGAAAACTAAAATTAAAAATAAAAGACAATATAAGAAGCAATATTAAAGATATTAAAAATAAAAGACAAGGAGAAGGAAATGGCAACCCACTCCAGTATTCTTGCCTGGAAAAGTCCATGGACAGAGGAGCCTGGCGGGCCGAAGTCCATGGGGTCACATGACCTAGAATGTGTGCACGAGGGTGGAGGGAGATGGGTTGGTAGCAATAAAGTGGTAGAACTAAAAAAAAAAAAAACTATACTGAACAAAATTTATGCCAACATATTTCAAAAATTTGGCATCAGCAAATATCTAGAGAAACAAAGTAAAACTTATATGTAATTTTGGTTTTTCATATAATCTAATTTTATCCAGTAAGTTAAACACTGGATAAAGTGCAAACAAGTGAGACACAAATCCCTGCTTTCAAGAAGCTGACAAAAGAGACATAGACATTGAATTTTACCTATGAGATAACAGAAACCAAATGAGCAGAAGAGCTCACTTAATGAGTGCATTTTAAAAAGAAAGGAAGAAAGAGGTTTAAAAGAAGAAGCATACAGGTCTCAAATCCTACAGTTCAAGGATGGGATATGGAGAAAGAGCCAGCCAGCAGGGAAACAGAGAACTGGGTCAGTGAAGGAGGCCCACAGAAGAGGTTCCTCAAGGACACTATCTAAACTGCTATGGAAGTGGTCCAGCTGGAGAAAAAGCCTTCGGTATATTTCAATTTGAGACATTGTTCACAATTTAAATTACCTCAAAATTTAAAAGATTTAATCACCACATTTAATAAGCACAACTAACTGCCTTTGTCAATTTTTTCAACTGTTAAACAGTTGCTTATTTTAAGTCACAAAGTAATGCAGTAAATTATACACTTAAAAATCTAGGTATTTTCTTAATTTTGTCAGGGAGTTTGCTCCTGATCAGATCACTTTTAAAAAGCAATGAAAAAACCTGATAAACAAATTCAGGATTAGAGCCTAAGTATAGCCTTAAAAAAGCTTCTCTGATCTAGTTATGCACCCACAAACATTAAGAATATTCCCCTACCTGATGACCATGCTCTAGGGCCAATTCCAGTGCTAGCTCAGCTAAAGAATATTTTTCTTCATGAAGCCAAATGGTTGCTTTAGCACTTTATGTAGTATAACTAGCCTGTAAAATCTAACTCTAAATGATCCAAAGATAATTTAAAACCATAGAGAAGAACCCAATCAGAACAACTGGAGTTATTTATAAATTTGATCATAATCAACTGTTCTTCCATAACCAACTTTTCCAATTATGGAAAACCAACTTTTCCAATTTCTACCTTAACTAATATGCATGTGTCCAGATGATTTCATTCCTTTCATGGTCTCAGATCACAGCACAAGTTTATTATCAGACTGACACTTTGAGAGTAAAAATGAACAGGTCTGTAAGATTAGTAAGATGTTTACAAAATTTTCAAAGCATAGTCACCTTGGAGAAGTCACACGGCAAGGAGATTTTTTTCAAAAGGCTCGGGTCCCCCAGTGCCTTACCTTGACTTCCTTAGAGCTACTGGAAGTCTTCCCTTCAGTCCTCTTCTGCTTTGATGCGGAGGAACTGTTTTTGCTGCTGCCACTATTTTCCTTGTTGCTGTTATTACTTGACTTTAAGGAAGAAGACTGGCTAATAGTCCTCTTCCGAGAGCCATGCTCTGTTTTTGGATCTTTTGAAGGAACAGGCCCAGCAGGAGAAGGCAATAAATCTTTTTCTTTAGCAGCACTCTGTTTAGATGACCTGCCAAACCAAACAAATGCCCTCATTTCTCCACACAGTCATGTAAGAGTGATGGACTTTTCTCATTTGACTTTGACTGATTTCAAGACAAATTCGGTTTTCCCTATTTGAATGTTAGAACATATGATTTCTATAAAACAAAATAAAATTATAAATTTCAGGAGGGCAGATATCTTCTCCAGTGTTTCCTCCCCATTATGGTTGTATATTCAGTGCCTAAACCTTGGTCTGTCATACACAAGTATTCAATAGTGACTGAATAAAAGAACAAAAAGAGGAATGGTGAATGAAGATACTAATGCTCATATGTCTCCTGCAGCTACACATAAGGTTGCCATCCAGCCTGAAAGTAGTAAAGCTTTACTTTAGTTCTTATCCTATGAATACTTCCTATTCTCCTAAAAAGAGAGATAAAGTGACTGAATCTTGCTTTTCATCCCAATTAACTAAAAGCAAAACCTCTCACTCTTTGGTATATGACTGTGTACAGAAATGTATAACATATACATACTAAATGGAATATTCTAAGAGCACATTAGAAAGTAACCAGCAGCAAATAACCCACATAGATCAACACACATGTTACATGTTTTGCAGACATACTCTTTGTTGCTGGATGGCTTGTGGCCTGCCATATTCTTATCCTCTGTTTTAGGTTTCTTGCTCTCATTGGCTCGGTTATCATCTTCATTCTGGATGAAAAACAGGAAAAACAAAGCAGTTAGGTTTTGATTTTTATTCATCTAATTTCAGTTTTCAGTGCTAGTCACCCTCAAACAGTTAATCTCTGATATACTTCAGAAAGAAGATAAATGTGAAGTGAAAGAACTCATTTAAACAGTGTTAAATAAATTAGGTTTTTAAGTCTGAGAAGAAGTCTCCTATTTTAGATATGAAGAGCTGAAATGCTGAAACAGCCTTTAGATGGCATCTTTTCAGCCTAATGATTTGAGGAGGGGGGATGAGATAATTAAGATATAATTCACATACCAAAAAATTCATCTGTGTTAAAAAAAATTCATTTGTGTTGTAAGATTATTTGTCAATATTTTATTTTATTTTTTTCCATTTATTTTTATTAGTTGGAGGCCAATTACCCTACAACATTGCAGTGGTTTTTGTCATACATTGAAACGAACCAGCCATGGATTTACATGTATTTTATTTCTTTTTAATGAATGAATATGTTCCATTGTATGGATATGCCACATTTTATTTATCCATTCATCATTTGAATTTTTCCTACTTTTCAAGTATAGATTTTTTTAGTATATGTGCTGCCGAAGCGAGCACTCAAGTATAGGTTTTTGTGTGGACATGTTTTCAATGTTCTTGGGTATATACGTAGGAAGGAAATTGCTGAGTCATAAGGTAATACTGTCTATTTACTTTTTGAGGAACTGCTAAACTATGTCCCAAAGTGGCTACATCACTTTACATTCCCACTGGCACTGTCGTTCTTCACATCTTCACCAACACTTGTTACTGTCCATCTTTTTGCTTTTAGCCAAGACTAAAGATCTTTGAAAAACTTTTTTGCTGAAACAAAAGCTATGGGCCTGTCTATAATCACCAAGCTACTATGCTTGGGGAATTTAAGTTTTCCTACTGACTTAAATATCAGGGCACAGATATTGCAAACATCCTGCCATATGAAAGAATTTGTTCCCATATACAAATGATTAAAGTTGGACATGAGAGAACATGAGAAAAAGAAATCCACATCTTTCATTATCCTTGGCTGGTCTCTTTCTCAGTATTATCTGCTTTATCTTCAAGAATAATTTTACCAAAGCAACAAATCTCAAAAATCATCACTGGAAAATACCCTGGTAGTCCAGTGGTTAGGACTCAGAGCTTTCACTGTTGGGGCCTGGGAACTAAGATCCTGCAAGTTGTATGGCATTTTGGGGGAAAAAAATAATCATCACCAAGTTTCCTGGTGATATACATTTTATAAAATAAAAATTTCATTTACAGGTATTGATATAAAAAAACTTGTGAGGAATATATGCCGATGAGATGTGGGGGAGGTAAGGAGATATGCTTAGTCACTCAATCGTGTTCGACTCTTGGCGACACCATGGGACTGTAGCCCACCAGGCTCCTCTGTCCGTGGGATCCTCCAGGCAAGAATACTGGAGTGGGTTGCCATTTCCTTCTCCAAAGGAGATATGGGACACTCCTTTTAGAGGAGAAGGGGATTTTTTTATTACAAGTTATGTATATTGTAAAATTTTAAACAAGAGTAAAATTTACTCAGTATATTATATTTTAAATGTCTGAAAAAGTTTACAAAGAATTTGTAATACCTTTTTAAAGATAAAAGAACCATTTTTTTAATTCCATAAGAAACATTTTTTTTTTAAGGAGCAGAATCTCTCACATACAAGCTCTTATTTCATATAATTTCTATGAATTATACAGAATAATATAAAATCCCATAACTAAGTCCAGCAATCTGAGGCTGTAGGCTCTAGAATCCAGCAGCCCTAAAGAGTTTACCAGTTGAATAAGGCATCCCTTTACTACAATAATGGAAGCTCTTAGCTATAGTACTGAAAGTAGGAAGCTTCAGTTTTCTAGGAATTCAAATTTTAAACAATCTTCAATTTTTGAAGACGCAAAAAAAAAAGGAGTGTTATTCTCATTTGTCCAAATACATCAGCAACAGCACACAGTACTGTGGTTTTAAGGAAAAAAGAGGGAAAACCGCAGGCTCATTTCAAGAAAATGCTCCTCCTGTCTTCCCACATGAGATTCTCAAGGTCAACTGGGACTGGGATTTTGTTCTGAGTCCACCTGGTATCCCATTCACCTGCTCATGTTTTCAATATCTTATAATCTCATGCACACATGTGTATCAAGGGAAATTATACTATTCTTCAATACAAATTAGTAAAATGTACGCTCCTCTAAAGATGTCTCACTAAAGTTGAGAGATCACACTTCTTTCTTTCCAAAAAATTTGTCTCTATATATAAGTTTTTCAGCTCCATTATACGTCCTTTATCTTCCAATCACAGATATCTATGAATTTTCACAATTCCTGGGTCTAAAAAAAGCTGACCTTAAAAGTACACACCAAGCTTTGTCTGTAAATCCAAATTATCGTGGAATTATTTAGGGATGAGAGCTGGCTATGTGCCAACAGATGTTTTTAATTCTGAACTTGCAAAGCAGAAAAGCTGTGGCACAGCTACGATGGATTGGTCAAATTCTTAAGGACATGTTAAAATTGGTGAGTCAATTTACTAGCTGGAATTTGTAATCTAAAACATGTGACTTGGTCTGGATATAAGAGAGAAGAAAGTGTTATGAAGTACCTGGAGAGTACATATCCCAACTAAAGATATTTAAAACCAAAACTGTAAGGATGTTGTAAAGGCCAGTTTGCAATCTCTGCTTTGTTCTCACCTCTACACTGGCCAGCACACACTATGAACAGATGCACTGGTTCATTTCTTACCTGATTAGAAACTATAATTCTTTACTAAAGGAGACAGGGAGAGGCACAGTGGTCCTCAAGAGACTCTTGTGTCTGTTGCCTCATCAGAGCTTTAGGCTCACCTCTATTTTCCCTCATAGCTATGAATCAACTAGCTAGTTTTTGGCTTAATGAGATTTCCACTGCATTTTTAGAGGATAATGTTCACACAACAACAACAACAATAACAACAACAATAAGAACAAAAAAAAACCCATTACAAACCTTATGTTTCCTCTTGCCTTTGTTGGAAACTTTTTCTGAGGCTTGTTTCTGAGCCTCTCTTGTGTGCTTTTCTGGCACATTTTTCTTTTCCCCCTTGGGTGGCTCTGTTTCTTTGTAAGGCTTTCCTGGTATTCTAGTCAAGAGACTCAGGTCAATCTTCACAATAAGTGGATACCTGTCATCAGGCTCACTGAGGGGTGAAAGAAGTTCCTTCTCTTCCATAGGAGAGAACATTCGTTGCCGAAAAAAGCTATCTTCTTCCTCCACTGAGGAGGGTTTAACGGGAGTCCTATTACTCTCAGGGTACTTAGGAGTTTGTGAGGAAGGAGGAAGGCTCTCACTTTCATCGGAATCTGAGGATGAGGTATCTGTTTCTATAATTTCCCTTGATTTCTGGGAAGATTTACTTGTTGACTTATATTTCTTTTTCTCTGCTGAAGGTCGAGGGGAAGATTTGGACTCCTTTTTTATATTGGGTTTTCTTGAGCCTTTGGTGGCTGCTTTGTGTCTGCTGGAGGGCATGCTGGTAGTCATGTCTACAGGAGTTTCACTCTCTATCTTCAGGCCTCCACGGGGCTCTTCAGCAGCTGCCTTCTCAGTCTTTTTGGGTTGTTTTTTTCCTACAGTTCTCCTCTGAGCTGTGCTGTCACTCTGGGCAGGAGACTTTTGCCTCCCACGCCCACTTTCTGATCCCTTTTGGACAGTTTTGGAGTCTCGTCCAGGAGTAGCAGAACTTGTTTCTTTAGGACCACCTGGATCCGTGTAGCTATTCCCTGTTCCCTGTTCTCGGCCTTCCTTTTTATAGCCTTGAGATGATGGGATATTACTGTCCACGGAAGAAGCTGGTGACACTTTATGTGGATTTACTTTATTCAGCCAGTTATCAAGTTGCCATTTATTTGTGGGAGGTGGTTCAGGCTGAAAAACAGAGAAAGAAGTATGCTTTTTCAGTACTGAAACTTTCTCCTTTCTTTATAATCTCAAGGAAGAGGAAAAAACACAATGCCTAACACCAACACAAAAGCATTTGTTTTTCATAGTTCTAACTGAACCAAAGCAAAAGGCTAAAAATAATAATAGCTCTCATCACTTGAATGAGAATATAAGCTAATTATTATATATATAGCCTTTAAATACTAAATAGACCTGTCAGGAATCCATACAGTACATTTAATTCCAGAAAGCAAACAAACGATGTAGGCACCAACAGAGATTTTAAACCACATTTTATCAAGCTACAGTGAATTTATACTATTTAAGACTTCTTTTCACCATAACTAAATAACATGAGTCACCAGGTTGAAACAAAAGTAAAGCTCAGAGTAAATACTGGGCATCACCAGGGGCCTTCAGAGTGCCTACAGAAGGGACCCTGTTGCCTCCCTCTCACCTCAGGAGATGCACTCTGGGATGGCTCATTTGCCTCACTGTCACTGGAACTACTTTCACTCTCTGAGTCAGATCCAGAGCTGCTTTCAGATCCACTGTGGCTGCTAGAATCATCCCTGGAGTTATCTGCCCCTTCACTATTATGGTGTGAAGGTTCAGAGTTACTAAAAGAAATAAAAAATATAAAAGACCAAAAGATTTTTTTTAAGAATGACAACAGGTAAGCAAAGTTGACACTCCATTTTATTTAAAATGTTTACTATTTGTTAAGCTCTTCAAATTCTATGATTCTAGAACTTTATTATAAATGAAATAAATACTTCCCTAAAAAGTTTCTGAAATGCAGCATTAGCCATTAGTACTCACCTTTAAAAAAGCTTTACTGGGGTACAAAATACTCTAAAATTCATTTATTTTAAACACACAATTCACAATGATTTTTAGTGAATTTACCGAGTTGTAATAATATTTACTTTATAAGGTCAATTACTCTATCACTACACACTGTTATCAGACTGACCCTTCCACTCTAAATAAAACAAAAAATAAAAGGATGCCTACCTTCCTGGTGTACTCCTTGGCATTGTCTTATCACAATCCTAAAATTAAAACATGAGAGGAAATCTATAAATGAATAAATAGTACTTTATCTGCTTAATGTGAACAATATGTGAAATCTTAATAGAAAAACTTTCTTCTCTAATATATGCATCAATGGTCACTTAACACTTATGAAATACTGTTTTTACCTGAATAAAAACGAACTGCCAGGATAAGATTAAAAGCTGTGTTAATAGTTCTTCTTGTCAACAATCTCATGCTTCATGAGGATGTTCTGATATATGGTAAGTAATAAGGAAAAGCCTTTTTTTTTTTAAAATAAGGGAAAAAAATGGAGGTTTAAAGACAGAGTGGAAAACTATAATATTCCAGTGTCAGAAAAGCAGGAATGAACTTATTTTAAATACATGGATCATAAATGTATTATTCAATTATAATTCTTGTAAAATAGAATAAAAACAAACACTGTATGAAACTAGTAAATCATAAGTAGACACACCTGTTCCCCATCACTGTCTTCACTGCTGCTTAGTTTTAAGTCATCTTTTAACATACTAGAAGGAAAAGGCAGAGAGAATGATTATTTTGGGAATCTCACCATGGCATAGCAGAGTATTAGATATTCAACAATAATTGTAGAAATAATCACTGTGGTAGCCAAAGATTTAATTGCAAAATAAAGAAAAGACCCAGTAAGTCTTACTCTGTCTGGTTTGCTTTATATCCAGAGTAAAAAACTGGGAAAGATGAAATTTAACAATTTCAATTTTGGAAGCTCTAACTTTTCTATAAGTAAAATATTCATCTTTCTTTTCTAATTAAATAAAAGTTACCTTCCACAAACTCTTAGACTCGTTATCTCTAATTTTTCTCTAATTGCGTATATACAAACTCATTATTAAAACAAATTACCATACTCATACCCAATAATCCACTAAAGGAATATGACTCTCAAAAAGAAGGAAGATAAAATGAAAGCATCAGTAATTCTCTTTCACTATCCCCAGTGTTTTATGAAGAGATATGTACACTTGGGTAATTGTGAAAACCAGAACACACAAAGTGCTAGTTCGTAAATGCCTTGCTATGAAAGATGAGTGCTCTTTGCAGATGTCCAATTTTGGGTAAGAACCTTGGTTATACAAGAGAAATAACCATGTATGAATTAAAAATAACTCCAGAGTTATATATATATAATGTATATATATATATATAATATATATAATTATTATATATATAATAAATCCAGGGTCCAAATCTTTCTTAATCAAAATTCAAATCAACTATTAATTTAAAAGTAAAATTACAGATTTATATTTTCCTTAAGGCCACAGAATCAAAATTAAAAACTGAGTAATGAATCACAAAACACTCCTTGCGTTTTTATAAGAAAGGAAAAATTAACACAAACCTTAGGGAAAACTAGAAAATGTTTGATTTCTATCACCACTAGTTACATTACCTTTCTTCTCAAAATTTCCTGACAGTCTTCAATCAATGGAAAGGAAATCTTCTTTCACTCCTCCTACTACTAATACTCTCCCCTCAAAGCTTAACCTGTTTCTAAATTTGATCCCAAATTCAGAGTTTCACATAAACCACCACCTTGATACAAAGTAACCAGATAATTATAGAACTATGAAATCTGTTCTAAGGATGACCAAATAAGTGGGACAAGTAAAAAGGTCTTCTTTTGGTCCGGGTCTCAGTACATCTCTATGACTGATTTCCTATAAAGAAATGTACTTACTCTGAATTCTCTCAGCCCTTATGATTTAATAATGGCAGGTCAATGAACCTGTTTACCCATGTGAATATGTCAAAGCTTTTACCATACTGCTTAAGGTACTGGATGCTCTTGTTCCCTCAGAAACCAAAGTTATCTGCACATATATGGTAAGCTCCCATCGGTTTTCTGCACATGAATAAATATTATAAATAGGAATTTACATAATTTGAACTTTTCAGCAGTCAGGTGAAATTACTTGTATTCATATATTTTCATTCTCACTCAATTCCCACTATGTTCAGTTGAAGAGACTGAGGTTATCAGTATAGACTGTGGTTATACTGGTTATTCACTTTCTTTAGAATTTTGTTTCAATCACTGGATTAACTTGTGGTCTCAGGAATTCAGCAGTAAATTCATTCTTTAAGTTGGAATTTATTATCATTCAATATACCACTCTACTACATTTTGATACATATTTCTAGGTCTATCTATAAAATAAAAGTAGGAAAACAACACAGACAGTATGAACTATGCTGCTTTAATATTCTAAATTTTGTGGTCAAAAGGAGGGCTTTACTAAGAAGAATCCTGTATTTTATTCACATTTTTTTTGGTTTGTTTTTTTAAACAAACTATCAACACAAACACTCCTGAAAGATAAGAAAAAAGTGTAATCATAGAGCAGGGGTAGGTAAACTATGGTCCCACAAGCCAAATCTAGGCCTGTTTTGTAAAGAAAGTTTCAACTGGAACATAACCGCACCCATAGTCTCTGGCTGCTTTTATGGTACAACAGCAAAGTTGAGTAGCTGAGACAGAAACCACCTGGACCCTAAAGTCTAATAAACTATTTCACTATCTGGTCTTTTACATAAAAGTTTGTCTACCTGTGCCTTAAAAGATTAAACACATATTTCTAAGTGTTCTAGATATCCAGATACTACAAGTTAGACTTTGAGCAAAAAAAAGACAAACATTAAACTTACGATTTAGATTGGTGTGCATTTGAAGTTTTAGAAGAAGGATTATATCTTTCTGGAGCAAAAAAGAATGCAGACATCAGCAACTATAGTATGGCTATTCATATTTTAAAATGTCTATCTAGATAACCTCAAAGAAATATAAATAAAAACAATGGGATATAATTCTTCATCAATCAAATCGGTAACACTTTAATGTACATAATATGAAATACTGGTGCAAACAGGCATGTCACATGTTATTGGTAGGACTGTAAATTCATACAATCTTTCTGGAGGGCAATTTGATAATATTATCTTACCAATACTGTAAATGCACATATCCACTGACCTAGCAGTTAAAAGGAAATGAATTTACACTACAAGTACATCTGGAGGAATACATACACACAAATAAACACTCACACAGTTTATTATAGCATGGTTTACAACAGCAAAACTGGAAACCAATGCCCATCTACAGGGGACTAGATAAATACATTAGGATAGTTTCAACAATATAACACATTTTTGTTTTTAAAAAAGAGTGAACTACAGCTTTATACTGATATTAAAAAAAAAAATGTGACAGTGTTAGTCATTCAGTCGTGTCCGACTCTTTGAGACCCCATGGACTGTAGCCTGCCAGGTTCCCCTGTCCATAGGGATTCGCCAGGCAAGAATACTGGAGTGGGTTGCCATGCCCTCCTCCAGGGGATCTTCCTAACCCAGGAATCAAAAACTCAGGTCTCCTGCATTGCAGGCAGATTCTTCACTGTCTGAGCCACCAGGGAAGCCCACACTGATATAAAGACAGTTCTAAAATAAATTAAGAGAAAAACACAGGTAATAAAGAGTAGGTGCAGCTTATGGTCCCATTTGCCAATAGTTAGCTATGGGCAGAAAGAACGGGGGAAGAGAAGTAGAAGTAAAGAGATACTTTTAAAAGATTTTAAGAGAAAATGAATACTTTCTGGCCTACAGTTAGTTATTTACTATGTATCTACAATGTTGGGTCCTTTTTTCCTATCTGTAGCTTTAAGACAGAACAAAGAAATAGGTACATAAGATTTGTTAACCTTAAAATGGACCTCTGCTTTAAGATCACTAAAGTCAACAAACTAAGGACTAAAAAAGCTCCACATTTTAACCTCTCAAAAGAGCTTATTACCAGAGTAAATATACCTGAGATGTTACTGCTCTTGGCAAAAGAACATTTGTTTGTTTTTAGAGAGCTTTACGGTGAAGTCCAGACATTTGCAAGGTTCCTGACCTTACCACTACCAATTCATACAGCCATCAACTCGTGGAACCACAATGAAATTCCCCATAGCTATCTTCCCCTCAAGTTCTTCTGAGAGGCCAAGACAGTGGAGGTAGACAGGGACTTTGTAGCAGACATCAGACTTTCTTCCCAGCTAAAAAGACCCAGAAATAATTGAATGGCTCTTGGGGATATGAGGTGGCCATCAAATTGAACTCATGAGCTCTGAACTACTAGTTCAAATACTTAATAAAAATAGCTTATTTTGATACCAAGTGATTTATAATTCTTCATTTTTTAAGCTAAGATTCAGTTCAACCCATTACTAATCATCAGATCATAAATACTGGGATAAGATACACAAAAGAATTATTAAAGAAACATATGATGTGACCACAAGAAATGAAATAAACAGCTTAATATAAAACCAAGAGGAAAAGAAATACTCACTTTGTTCTCCAGGGCCAAAACTGGACTGCTGAGACTCCTGAGAAAAAGGGACATGAAATTATATAGTGACATTAAGAGAAAAAGGTTCATTAGAGAAAAATACTTCACATTAAACTACTCATTTCCAACTAATTCAATGGAAGAGTCTGTTGAGTTACTAAGAATGCATAAAAGACAAAAGCAAAAGCAAAACAAAAAAAAAAAGAATGCATAAAAGAAAAAAAAAAACACTGAAAGAATTTAATGATCCCATCTGATCAGCTTCACCAATTCAATGGTCAGTAGTAGAGCTTCCCAGAGCTTAATACAGAAAAGTACCAATCTATGTAACAGTCTTTCTTTATCATTTGTTTTTAGCAGCATCTTTGGCACTCATATCCTAATTTAATTCTTGGTCTTAAGAAAATGCTATTTTTTAAAGAATACTAATAATGATGTATTAAAATGAAGATAGTTGTGCAAACTATATTTATTCAAAACATACCACTATTATGGACTAGTGACCCCTTCACAGTTATTCCCATGTCATTTTACTGCACCCCCCCCCCCCCCGGCCCACTCCCAATATCTTATAATTAGCAACCTCAGGAAGAGATCTCCCATACTCATTTTACATACTTCTTTGTAAGCCCTACACTAGCACTGTGCCTGGCACTCAGCAAGGATCAGTTAAAAAAAAAGCCAAAATGTCCAGGAAAGAAACTTTTCAAACTCAACTTTCAAGACGAGAACAGCTGTTTCACGAGTGCAAGTTGTACATTTTTCTAGGTTAAGTCTGTGGTACACAGTGCAGTACACTAAGATTACACAAACATCCTTAATCTCTTCAAAAGCTTACTTAAAAATAAGTATAATCTTCTAAGAATGACAGAATTACCTGTGAAAGAGAAATCCAAACAGTATCAAAGCTAAAATATAGTTTTGCTGTTTAAAAATACTTTAAACCTATACCAACGGTCAACTGATTTTCATCAAGGGTGTGAAGACCATCCAACACAGAAAGAACTCTTCAACAAAAGGTGCTAGGACAAGTGAATAGTCATATGCAAAATAATGAAGTAGGATCCTTACCACAAACAATATAAAAAAATAATTAACCTGGAATAGATCGAAGACCTAAATCTAAGAGATAAAACTACAAACTCTTAGAGAAAATGCAGTGCCAAATCTTAATAACCTTGGATTTGGCAAAGAATTCTTATATATGACACCAAAAGCACATGACATGAAAGAAATAGATAAACTGGATTTCATTAAAATTAAGAACTTTTGTGCTTCAAAGGACACCATCAAGAAGGTGAAAAGACAACACACAAATTGAGGAGAAAATATTTGCAAATCATATATCTGAAAAGAGACTGGTATCTACAATATACAAAAAGCTATTATAACTCAATGCTGAAAGTCAGGTAACCCAATAGAAAAAAATGGGTAAAGGATCTGACTATACATTTTCCCAAGAAATGTGACTAGAAAGCATATGAAAAGATGTTTGACTTCATTTGTCACTGGCAGGAAATGCAAATCGAATTGACAATGAGATATCATTTCACACCCACTAAGATGACTAGAATCAAAAAGATAACTGCAGTGTTGATAACAATGTGGAGAAACTGAAAGCCTAATAGGAAATACTAAATGGTACATCTAGCTGCTTTGGAAAGCATTCTGGCAGTTCCTCAGAAACTAAACATAAGAGTTACAACATGATCCAGTAATTCTGCCCCAGGTATATAACCAAGTGAAATGAAAACATGTCCACACAAAAAATTGTGCCCAAAGGTTTACAGAAGTATTAGTCACAGTAGCCAAAAGAACAAAACAACCCAAATTTCCATCAGCTGTTGTTGTGTTAGACACTCAGTCATGTCCGACTCTTTGTGACTCCATGGACTGCAGCCCACCAGGCTCCTCTGTCCCTGGGATTCTCCAGGCAAGAATACCGGTATAGGTTGCCATTTCCTTCTCCAAGGGATCTTCCCAAACTAGGGATCAAACCTGGGTCTCCTGCATTGCAGGCAGATTCTTAACTGTCTAAGCCACTAGCCCTCCAACAGGTGATGAATGTATAAACAAAATGATCTACATCTAAACAATGGATTATTATTTGACCATAAAAAAGAATGAAGGAACTGATACATGCTACAACTTGGAAGAACCTTGAACATTATGTGAAGAGAAAGAATCCAGTTGCAAGAGATATGCAATATATGATATGATTTCATTTACATGAAATGTCCAGAAAGGGGAAATCAATACAGAGGACACATTGGTTGGGCAGGATTGAACTGGGAGGGGAACAGAAAGAAAAAGGTTGATAGCTAAATAAATGGTAGGGAGCTTCCTTTGGAGGTGATAAAAATGTTCTAAACAATAAAAAAAAAAAATTCTTTTTGGCTATGCCACATGGTTTGTGGGATCTTAGTTCCCTGACCTGGGATTGAATCTGGGCCCTTGTCAGTGAAAGTGCAGAGTCCTAAGCATTGGATCACCACAGATTTCCCAAAATGTTTAAAAATTCACTGCTATAATGGTTGCACATATCTATAAATATGTTCAAAACCATTTAATTATATACTCTGAATGGGTGATTTGCAGGATATGTAAATTCTATCTCAACAAAGCTATTCTAAAAGTCTTTAAATACATCACTGACCAAGAGGTCATTCCTGTGAATCTTATTAAAAATGAAAAGGATTTCCCTGGTGGTACAGTGGCTAGGACTCTGCGCTCCCAATATAGGGGGTCTGGGTTCAATCCCTGGTCAGGGAACTGGATCCTGCATGTCCCAACTATGACCCAGCACAGCCAAGCAAACATTTACTTTTTACATGGAAAGAATTCTCTACCCGGCCTTGAATGACTAATTGTCTTATACTCATTTACCTGGTAAATGGTCTAACAGTTCAATGACCTAAGCTTTTAAGTTGTCTCTTGATTCCTTTTTCTCACCTCTGACAATAGTCAGTCAGCTAGTGACCAAAGGCAACTGGAGGGACTTCCCTGGTGGTCCAGTGGTTAAGACTCCATATTTCCAATGCAGGAGACATGGGTTTGATTCCTGTTTGGGGAATTAAGATCCTATGTGCCACATAGGTGGCCTAAAAAAAAAACACCAAAATCTATAAAATAAATAAGCAAATATGACTGGATTCTGTCTAGACCATTTACTTATATGCAACACCTTCTCCTCTCCATCTCTACTGCAAAGACATAGGTTGTCACCTTTCTTCATTTACAATGGTCATCTAACAGATCTTCCTGGCTCCAGCCTTTGTCTCTTTCACTCTTTCAGCCTCTAGTTTGGACTTTCTAAAGTCCAAGTCTTAGTATGTATCATTAATACTCCCCTATTTTTCACAGAGTGTACAATGGCTCTTCATTTTTCCTAAGGCTGAAACCCAAACTCCTTGATACACATTCACTCACATATCTAAGTACTGGAAAAACACAATAAGCAAAAACTGCCAAGGTCTTTGTCTTCATGGAACCTAGTATCAATGAGTATTTTTGCAACCACTCATGCAAATCAAGATAAAATAGCAACTGTGTTAAGTACAACAAAGGGCAAAAGCTTGCACAGTATTATAAAGTAATATAAAAATAACAATTTTATTATGTGTGTGTGCATGAGAAACAAACATACAGATACCCATACACACACACACACCCCTGACCAGGAAAATGAGCAAAGGCTTCCCTGAATAGGTACTGCTCAGGATGAAATTTGAAGGATATGCAGGAAGTAAACTGGGAAAGGATGAGAAACGTTAAGTGTTCAGGGTAGACAGAAAAGCATGTGTAAAGGCAAGGAAGAATAGGAGCCTAGCTAGTATAAAGAACTTCAAGGCAGCCCACGAGAGGAAAAAGTATAGAAGGAAGAGGGTTAAGAAATTAAATTCAGGACCATAGAGGCTAAATCACATAGCTGATTTTTATAGACCATATTAAAGATTTGTGTGTGTGTGTGTGCAGTTTACTAAGCTGAAGAATTATACATCTACATACTGTGATGATTACCTTGGCTATTAAGTAGAGAACAGCTTTGAGAAATCTAGAATGGAAGTAAAGATATTTCTGTTTGCCGTAGTGCAAATAGGAGATGACTACAGCTTAAAGATACTGGTCTCCAAGCTTTTTTGATCATGTACTCCCCACCACTAAGACAGTTTTGCATTTGTATCTCCCAAATATGTGTGTGCTCAGTTGCATCTGACTTTTGTGACCCCATGAACCGTAGCCTGTCAAGTTTCTCTGTCTATGGAATTTTCTAGGCAAGAATGTTGAAATGGGTTGCCATTTGCATTACTATTTAACTAGTATATATTATGTAAGACCAAAATATTAAAATTCTAAAGGGCTCAGATAAAATAATATTCTAGAGTAATTTAAAAATTGTTATTTATCAATGGCAACAACGCTTTCCTTACATACACACAAAAATGCAGTCTGACACTAAAACTGGTTTGATAATTGTTCCACTGGGTATCACAAAGACACAGCTAGACAAATGGAAGAGATGCTATACTGACTAAATCATGATACCAAAATTTCAATCTCTCAGATTAATATGCAAAAGTTTCTGTTGAAATTTAGCTAATAGATTTCCAATGGTCACTGACACAAAACAATTTCTCAAGAAAATAAAAGGTTATGGTTTAGTATTTTTAGGTAATGGGTTCAAAACTCACTGACATTAGAAAATTCTGTTTCCAAGTCTTTAAAGCTTGTACATATGATAATCATCACAGTTTTTGTCAACAACAATAAAAAATACAGGACTTCCCTGGTGGTTCAGTGGTTAAGAATCCGCCTGCCAATACAGGTGGCCCAGGTTTGATCCTTCGTCCAGGAAGATTCCATATGCAACTTAATTAAGCCCATGTACCCTAGAGTCTGTGCTTTGCAAAAAGAGAAGCCTCAGCAATACAATGAAAAACCCATGCACCACACTAGAGAAAGTCTGTGTGCAGCAACAAAGACCCAGAGCAGCCATAAATAAACAACAATGGAAACACATAGTGATGACATTATTTT